CGTTAAGCTCTGAAGCTTCATGAACCGTGGGTCGAGTAATTGCTTTAAGTTCTTGCAGAAATCGTAGTCCCGATTTCATTTAAACTTATCTCATCTTAAGCCGCTTATTACTCCGCAAACAAATAATTTTTAGCATTTTATCTCTTTATTCGCTTATTTTATAATAAACTGCTTTAGAAAATGAAACATATAAGTAATAGATATGATTAATATATAAAACATAGATATAAAACATAGAATGCAAACCCAGTAAAAATAATATAAATATAAAATAAAATGGTTATGTTAAATGTATAATAAATGTTATTATTCCTAAATAATATTTTATTACAAACGATTTTGGTCTAGCGCATATTAATGAATCTAAACGCTATATATTCACAATCTTTGCGTAAAAGTTTAATTTACATTATAGTCTTGACAATGATATTATATAGAACTTAGTGAAACATTTGATATTGCAAATAATTTATGTTTAATAATTAATTATTAAGAATTTTATATCTACATTAGGTAAAACCTATAATTTCCTTTATCGCAACGAAATATAAATTAGTTTTTTTATTAAATTTAACTAAATTGAATAATGTTTTCTATTATAAATATCTAAGCAGACAGTTACGTTGAAAACATAAAAGTAAGCAGAAAACTATGTATCTTTCAATACGCTGCAAAGCCAATATTAAAATTGAAAGTTTTGGCATCTCCAAAGTAAGCGGAAGAAACGGAAGTAACAACAGCACGCAGGCTTGGTATTGGGAAAGTCGTCGTACATTAATGCTGGAAGACTGAAGATAGTTGAGCAAGGAATGATAAGTGAAGTAAAAGTCGCAGGATTCCTCCATTAGCCTAAGGATTACAGAGAGAAATGGACGCGAATCGGAGGCGAGGGTCCCGAGAGTTCGAGACTTAGAAATCGAAGGGCAAAGAGCGTAACCCAAGCTTTGAAACGCGCCAAGCGACTGGACAGAATCGAGTCGCAAATGAAACGGACTCGAGGCGGAGACGAAGACACTCCCGCCGGATTTCCACGGCTTCGTCGTTGCTAAATCCTCTTAATATTGTATTCTTCTGGCCTCACGGTACTCGCCTCGACCTCATACATAGGCGAACTCAAAACAAACAAATCCAATTTCGAAGACTGCGTCTTTACATCCGTGAACGAATCTGGGAGTGCGAGACTTGGCTTCGTTCTCGGGACATCAGCCAATGGCCAAGGGAGTTGATATGCCCTAAAACAAGATTCTTCGTCAACGATCCAGATTCACGCTATTCGCTACTCTTCCTTCTCCCTGAATTCGACTCGCGGACCACTTTTCAACTTATGAACTTTGTAACATCGAAAAAAGGCTTTTTACAATAATTTTTTAGAAATACTGTTACTTCTTTATTCAACCAATAAAGCTCTTTTTCAAGTGATCAACTTTTCAAAATTGCTGATTAAAAATGTAAAATTTCGAATTATATTTCTTTTGTTTGACACGGCAAATTATACAAATTAATAAAAAGATAACTTGCACACAAATATATTTAAGAAATTTATTAAGCAAAATATATATTAGCCGTAAAGATATTTAATCTTATAAGAACATCTTAAAAATGTTTATGACAACGAATACTTTCTTATTCTCCTAATTTATATACTTTAAAGGTCAATGTAAATTATATGCACAATCCTATACCTGCAGATAATGACGCATAAACGATTGCCGTAAATCACGTCTAAAACATTATACATAGCTCACTGCGTTTGATTTTAATCAATAAATAGAATACTCCTCACTGACTTTCAATTTAGTTGAACCAAACTTATTTTGAATTTAAACCTATACATTGACTAATAGTAGAGTTTAAATACATTTGTTTTGTTCTTCCACTTGAATATCGACAAGCCTATTCAAACATTAATAACCATCCTAATAATAACATTTATTATTATGACATTATTAAATAAACAACATCAATTAAAAGATTTTGATTATTTATAGCCTAATAAAATATGTACTGTTTGTTTACAATGAGTCTTATTATTCTGTAATATTCGGAATATTTATGAAAGAGGATCTATTGGATTGTCCTAGATGCTCAAGACCAATTAAACAATAAATTTTTATAAACAATAAATTTAATTTACTGAAACTTCGCGCGTATTTTAATGAAGGTTCTAAGCCACCGAATCTTGTGAGCAATTTGTCTTTGGGTAAACGTCTCTGCAGCTTCTTGTACGATAAAAGGAAAAGCCTGGGCTACGCATGCAACGAGAAAGGTTAAGCGTCATAGAGATACGTCCCAGCGCCTCCCCTCTCTGTACTCCACAAATACATCAATTGATGACGAGGCGTGTATTATACGCGCACAATAAATTTTCAAAGCTCTGTAGGAAAGTAAAAAAGGCAAGCGGCGCAGAGAAGGAGAAGTCCGTTCGCGAGAGTTAGCAAAACTAACAATAATCAGTCGCGAATGGTGGCGACGGTGGCAAGGGGTGGAACAGGTGATAAATGATGTTAAGGGGATTCTAGATAGAGAGGAAACACAAAAAGGAAGACATAGACGAAAAGCGTAAGAGTACGGTACTCACCTCGCGAGCGCCTCGATGTTGGTCATGTTGTGGTTTACCTTGAGGCCCTGCTCGGCAGCCCTCGCCTGGGCCTGAGCCTGTAGGTGATGAGGCAGACTCGCCGGGGACAGGATCGCCGTGTGACCGGCACCTGGGTGGCCGCCCAACTGCATGAACTGCATGTGGCTCAGATGCGTCGGTGGATGATTGTAACCGTTCGCCAGCAGCGGCGATTTCTCCAGTCGCGGCACTTCTGCGATGAACAAAAGCAAACAGCCGTCATTAGAGCTCTCCTCTTATGCTATACCACCATACTTTCCCGATTATCTTCCTCGATTGTTGAACCTTTTCGTAAGTCCTTCCCCTGACTTTCATGTCGAAGGGCAAACCTTTTCCATTTCTCGTGCCTTCCATTATATGGCAGCCGAGCCAAATGATGGCCCTGCTTTTCTTTAATAAGAGTCCTGATGGGCTTTTGTTGTAAACATACCCAATTCACACGACTCGTAATCTGCTCGCTTCTAAATATCGGTTATGTAAGCCCAAGGGATGCTTTGTACTGAGTTGCACAATTTCCGCGTACAAATAGCGTACGAATAGGGCAAGAACAGTGTGATAGCCATGTGATTGCAATCACGGGCACTGGTCGCTAGACACGGGCCGGTAAAAGGGAAAATTTTCTATGACAGCATTTTTTAAATACTGTTTATCGATATTTATGTTTAATTTTCGTCAGAAGAAGTTCTGACTTACGTAAAAACTATTTAATAACTATATTGCTTTAGATGCCATTTGTATACTCGCAAATCCAATAAAAAGCTTAATTATTTTAAATAGGGTGTAAGAGAGTTGACAAAGTAACAAATAACACTCGCCATTGCATGTACTCTAATTCAATAGACACTTCTCTAAGCGAATAAATGTACACCCGTAAATCACTCTCGATCGTAAAGATTGCGATAAAGAAATGCAAGCTCGCGCTAAATCGAGCCAATGCTAAATACGAACGTCTTAGCGAAGGAGCCAATCAGTCTTGGATTCGACGGCAGATTAAAGTTGGAATTCCGTCGTTCCACGTGGACAAATATTGGTAAAACTCGACGTCTTTGGACTTGAGCCATGAATTTCAACGATCGGAACGCGGGAGTGATCTCAAGGGTGAATGGCGCGAATCTACGATTCCCGACTTAGTATAGAGGGAGATAAGGTTACGATGTACGTGTACAAATAACGAGCGAGGCGATAATGTATGCGCGCTCACGTTAGGCATCTCCAGATCGATGTGAGCAACTTTAGTAGGAAATTGAAAGCCCGTGATTTGTCAAGTCCTCGAAGCCTCATCCAGTTTGTTTATAATTTCAAAGGCTTCTCTCACATCTTCGCACACTCGCTGTATTTTTGTTATTCGATGTCACAACTCCATTTATGATTACTTTTCATTTATTATTCGAACACGGTGTGCCCGAGTCTTATATTGTTGACAGCGCGATATTTGTTATGGCTCTAATAAATACATCGCTTTTAATTATTCTTTAATCTTTAAAGAGTTAAATAAAAGTAATTAAATAACATAATTCCAAACAAGTTGAAGATTCTTTCATTACTTCCATCCCGACTGACGCACGGTAATGTATTCTTTATCACATATAAAGTACACAACCATGTATTACATTACTTTTATTACAGCCATCACATTCAGCATAATGATAATATTGCATTTCGAGAATAAAAAACGGCGCAACTTGTTTTAATCAGCGTAGCGGGATCAGTACCAGGAAACGTTTTGCATATAAATGCTAATCGGCGATTTGATATAAAAGCCCGCTGAAATAGCGAAATCCGAAAGCCCACGGCTAAAAGACGCATCAGAATACGATGCCTATGTGGGGAAGGGGGGTCGAGCAGGCGCCCTTATAATTAGCAAACAGAAAACGTATGCGCAGGCGCGTGGTCAGACGAGTCCTACCGAAAATGGAGAAGAGAAAGGATCGCGCACTCGCTCGCGCTCGTTATAGCGCTTGGCCCTTTTTTTCGACAAATCATTACGAGTGAGAACTCGACGGTACGTGATATATGACGACAACCGCGTGAACACCGACAATTGTCATTTTGTCGGGATCCTCACACACTAAGCGCGTCATGAGGGAGAAGAAGACGAGAACGCGTGGAGTTTGAAGAAGCCCAGCCTCGAATTCGCGGCTTTAATAATCTAAAAGTAGAGACTTCGTAGGGCGAAGCGGCAAAAGTAGGAGAGAGTGAGAGGATTAGCTAGCGGTCAGCCGGGCTAGTGGCGGAGGGGCGGGGAGGGCCGAACGCTATACAGAGAGAAGAGGTGCCTATTCATTACAAATTATCTAAATGGCAGTGATTTTGGGGCCGCGCGCGCCCGAGCCCATCTTGACGAGTAAGTGGCGGGTTCCAATTCTCCGCTCTCTTTTCTCTCTTTCCAGACAATCCTTGTCTGCGCCATCGCGTCTCATCCTCTCGCGCGCGCTTCTTCTTCACCGGAGAACCACTGGCGCGTTCCTTGCAAGACGCTTGTGACTGGGCCCTAAAATTGGACTTATTACAACTTATAGAGCACGATTTGAACGTTCGGCTCAATAACATACATTATCTCCAATCCATATGATTTAATGAAATCCCTCTAAACTCTCCACTTATGGTTTTAGTCCTTCGCGCGCCTTACTCTCCTCTTCGTCTATCATTTCTCCCTCTCTATACCTCGCCCCTCTTGCTCACTCACTCTCTCTCTCATGTTAGTCGGTACATGAAATCTTACATCTCTACATTTCTCTGTCTCGCCGTCTTCGAAGTGCATTCGCTCTTACACGTCATTTTGTTATGCCTTGAATCAACGGACACGTATTTCTCATTGGTAATGCGATCGATTTTCTTGCGCGCCTACGTCGCTTCAAGTATTATTGAACGTTTATACCAGAATCATTATGATTTGTAGTGCGCAACTATAATATTCCACTCTTTTGTAGTTACACTATTATTCTCTGTAAATGCGATTAATTTATCAAAATTTTTATACTTTTTAACAGCTGTAGGCGTTATTTCGGAAAAAATATTGCAAACCATCGTTTTATAAATACTTTTTTTTTAATCAATTTTATCATAATCTCATATTTCCTATCTTATATATTTTTTAGATTACTGATTGAACTTTATAAATATTGATAAATGCACAAATGACAATATTATTAATTTAACACTAATAATGAATAAAATTTTTATTCAAATATTATTATCGATCTCCTTGATATAGTCAATCCTATGAAATGCATTAACAATTTTCATCGATTGTACGAATGTATATTTAAACATTTTGTACTTGCTTTTTATTACCCTATCTGTCTCATTCCTCCGATTTAGCATATAACATTCAAGTTTAATTTAATACAGGAAATAAAATATAATGATTTCAAGTATTGTGAACTAAAGATTCCATAGATGCCTAAGAATCCATAAATTTTAAATCTTACATCGGAGTCTTGTCATTATTGTCGCTTTTATGAAACCAAGCCATGCAAATTGTAAGCTCGCAGATACGAGCACATTGCTAATATAATACTAACACGATGCACAACCATCTAATCGAGCCATCTTTTTTTGGATAGTCCGCCATGCTTGCAAAGTAATTCCGAACTACACGTACAGTGTACACGAAAAGACGGCAGCCGATCGGATCTCAGAGCAGCTGCCGCTTGATCTCCGCGTTGCGTGTGCACCGCAGATGATTTCATTCCTGAGGAGGAGAAAGGAGTAGAAAGGAGTTCGGCAAGATTTTCACTTTTATTTCTGAGTTATTATCGCGGCGTGCTTCTGTTACTTTGAGTTGCAAAATATAGAATACAAAGCTCCTCATTTCCAAATAATCTACACGAAACACTATAAAATAATCAATCCTGTATTTAATATTTAATCTTGTCAGGCTCCTGTTTATAGATTAATTGAAAATTTCATAAAATTTTCCATTTTTTTTACACGCAATGCTTCAATATTTTGTTAACCCAATAAATTTTCTATTATACTTTTGAAAGCAGTTAAGAACTATAGCATGAAATGGCGCTATTTGTCTCGAAGGACAAAGGATTTAAAAATTCTTTGTCGGATTATATATAGATCTTTATCAGAACATATATCTAATAGTTTAATTTAATAGTTAATAATTAACTGATTTAAGAAATTATACTTACTATTTACGCAACTAAAATTTTGATAAAACTATTTTCTATAAATTTACGGTTTTGGAAATTACTTGTCTATTCTTTAATGAGAATATTTGTACGGCATCCAAGAATGTTAATTAAATATATGTAAAATTTTAAATTTCAACATTTTCTCAAATAAATTGGTAAATTCATTGCATCTGTTACTTAATCGTGATATTATAAATTTATAGAAGCTTCGTAAAAAATACATATTTTAATTTTATTGCATTGATTCCATAAAATAATCTGTATGATATCCACTATCATTTATTCATTAAAATTTGAAATAATTTAATAATTTCAAGTATTTAATATTGACAACTTTTTATGATAAATGCACTCGCTAATTGTGTAAATAATATTGATAAAGGAACTCGTATTATTTCATTCTTGTGTTTACTCATGCTCACGTTACAAAGGAAATATAAATGAATGTTCAGATTAATACAACAATAAAAACGGAATGACACACTTGTCATGCTACAATTTTTACCACGAAGTCTTCCCTCGTCACTCCACTAAATGATATTTCTAAATTAATAACACTCATCATATGCGAGTCCATAAAAATTCTTTTTCTCTTTTGCGCTCAATCCTCAAAAATGGCCTCATAAATGAACAAAAAAGAGAAGAAGAGTACGTGAATGTAAAGGATTTCCATTTAACCTAATCAGTCGAGTATCTGCATATAAACGACGGTCCGACTCACGGTTATTGCGCGTCGGTTCCTCCATTTGCATTTGATAATATAAAGAAAAGAAGGGGACGGACCAAGTGGGTTAAAAGCAGGCGCGTGACTTTGATTTTGACGTGTGCGTTGGGCCGCGAGAATTGCCGCGACGATAAAACACAATTTGGCCCTAAAGAGCTGATTTTCGGGGGCTCCATCAACGTGCGAACGCCGCTCTTTTGATTGTCCGCTGCGATTACTCAGCCGTTCGTTCATCTCTACAAGCACACACCTACATACTCTGGACTCCTCACCGCCTCACCCCCGCGAATCCGCTGCACTATCTCATTCTCTCTCTTACTG